TTGTCCCCCCGCCCCCCGTCCCCCACCAGAAAAAAAAAAAAAGGTGATTAACAAAATAAGATAGGACAGGAGTTAGAAAACTTTACACCATGGACCAAATCTGACCCAAGGCCCATTTTTTTTTTTTTTTATATAACACTACAACTAAGGATGATTCTTACATTGTTAAAGGCTTTAAAAAGAAGAAGGGGGTGGATATGTAACAGAGGCACTATATGACCTATAAAGCTAATATTTAGTATCTGCTCTTTAGCAGAAAAAGTTTGTTGACCCTCATAGAGACAAAGAGGCATCTCTGCAAGCAAACAAAGAGCAACAGAATCTCAACTGGTCCAGAAAACATTATCTTAACAATAGTAAATGTCCTGAAATGAGGGGCAAGTAACTTCTCCAGGAAGAGGTAACAATACATGTAAAAGGCCTCAATGGCGATAGTGACATAGAAGAACTAATAAAAGTCCAGGTTGGCAGAAACACGAACGAAAAAGGAGAAGAATTATTAAAATTAAAGCTTTGAGATATAGGTATGACCTAGATATAAATGGCCTTTCAAACTATATTAAGGATTTTGCATTTTACCTGAATAACAATGAGAGGACATTAACTATTTCTAAGTGGGTGAATAACAAGAAAAACTTTAAAACTGATGATCATAGCTAACAATATCGGAAAAAGGGAGTCAGAAACAGAAGAGATTAGTAACAAACAGGGCTTTAAAGTATGTGACAGAAAATTCTAGTATTAGGTAAGAAAATAAGCAAACAGACACATTATAGTAAAACTTCTTTAAGCGAAAGACAAGGAGAAAATATTGAAACCAGCAAGCAAAAGCCTTGTCACTTATAAGTGAATCCCAAAAAGATTAACAGCTGTCTTCTCATCAGAAACAATAATAGAAGCCAGAAGAAAGTGGGATTGCATTTTTAAAATATACAAAATAACCCAATTTCAACTTCAAATCCTATACCCTGCAAAGCTGTCTTTCAAAAGTAAAGGAGAAATGAAGAAATTCTCAGTAAAAGAAAACCTGGCAGTATTTGTTACTAGCATATACTCCCTCAAAGAAATACTAAAAAAAGTTCTTCAGTCTGCAAACAAGCATCCTCACATAAAATTTGAATCCACATGAAAAATCAAAAAGTACCACTAAAGGTAAATATGCAATTATAAAAGGAAAGATAAATACATATTTCTTATCCATTCTTCTCTTACTCATAAAGAGTGACTGTGTGAAATAATATGTGTATAATGTTGTTGGATATATAACATATAGAAATATAATATATTTGGCAATAGCAGCATAAGAAAGCAGGTGGGAGAAAACTGATACTGAACTAAGGAAAGCATATCAGATGGCAACTTGAGTCCACAGGAACAAATAAAAAGGACTACAAATGGTAAATAAGATGTCTAATATAATGAACACTATAAATATATATTTGATTTCTTTTTTCTCTGTTTTTGAGACATAACTTTATATATTGTTGAATTTGTAACATACATAGCTGCAATCTGTATAATAACAATAACATATAAAGGAGGAAATGGAAGTAGAGCTATATAAGAGTCATATTTAAAACTGGAATAAAGTTAGTAAAAATCTGAAGTAGATTCTGCTGAATTGAAATGTATATGGTAAGCCCTAAAGCAACCATAAAAAATAACAAATATGGTGAAAAATTATTAAAAGAATGCTACACTAGAAAATATTGTCCAACACAAAAGAGACCAGTGAAGGATGAATGAAGGAACAAAAAGGCATCAGCATCACACGTACTTGAATCACTGGCACCTCGAGGTATCAAACTGGTTCTGGGATGCTCAAAGAGTGCCTCATAGGACTAAGACTTTTGATTCCCTGCAGAGTAAATTGAACTGGAAGAGACTGATGTCAAAAGGTTGAAGGGATGTAGAGCCTATGTATTTTGTGACTGAAATACTCCACTTTTGGTTTGAGATAACTAGATATAATTTTGACTATTATTATTGTTACTATTATGATTTTCACATATTTTATCTTTCTGCACTAAATTTGTTGATGTAATTTTTTTAGTTTTTCCAATTATCATGCTTGCTATATCAAATCCTACCTGGAGAAAGATGGGGGCATACTGACATTAGCAAGAAAACAACAAAATATGCATAAATAGTTAAATGTTTGCCAAGTCAGTTTACCATTTTTTATTGTATTCATGATACACATGGGAACGAGCTGATTAGTGACCTAAGCTGGTTGTCACTTTCAAGTCAGCCACATCTTGAAAGAATAACAACTGGGAAGACTTTAGTTGATGTGATATAAACTAGACACACCCAAATGATAAGCAACACTGTACATATTCACTACAATAAGGTTCCCTTAGCATATGAAGCAAAAGTAGGAAGACTTAAGAAGTTAACAAAGCAAATAGAGTCAGATACAAGCTTTACTTATTTCATTGATTGCCAAGGATTAATCCTAAACTCTTTTGAATAATTAACTAAATCCCTCTGAAAGTCTATCTACTATACATATTTAAAATAAGATCAAAACACACATAATTATGCTTTGGAAATCATACTACTGCTAATTTTCAACCCAGATAATAAAAGTGTAATTTGAGCTACATTCTCTACATTCTCTGATAAAAATTCAAACTAAATCTTGAGTAAACAGTCAGGAAGTATTATAATCCAATTCTTCTCTTTGATATATCAAGTTTGTCACTACCATAAAAGAAAATTAGATGAATTTGACAGGGTTTATTCTTCACATAGGTATATTTATTTATAAAAACTACAGTCTTTCAGAACCCATAGGGCTTTGATGATTATCAGATGAAACTGTCATTCTTCTCTAAAGAAGATAAATATTTTCTAAAACTATGAAAGTACCACACATTTATATGTTTGGGAATAGGTGAGAAAACAATATTATTTTGACTTATTCAATAGACTCACAGACTGTCCAATGCAACTGGTAGTTTAACAAACACCACCATTTATTTTTCAAGATACTTACCAAAAAACTTGAATTCAATATTAGTCTAGGAAACAGTATGTTAACTTTCTCAGTATCTTTTTAGCTCTTTGATGCAAAATTTTAGTATTTTTGATTGATATTTTAGATCAAAAGAGAGATTATTATCATTAGTAATCAAATATATTAAAACACATAATCATTCTCCCCTTTCCAAATTTCATATTCTTTTGGATCACCTAATTTAAAACATCTTTATGATGGTCTCTTTCCTCCTTTGTAATCAACTCAAAAATATTAATATAATGATAGATTGGCAAGGATTGGATATTATATTTTTATTAAAAGCCTGGAAGAGAGGCAAGGATCAAAATTTGATATTTCTGATACAAAGTGGAAAACCTGTGACAAAACTGTGACAAATCCAAAACAACCATAAAAAATAAAGCAACCATATAAATAACAAATATGGTGAAAAAATATTAAAAGAATTAATATGCTATGTTAGAAAATATTGTCCAAAACAAAAGAGAGCAGTGAAGGATGAATGAAGGAACAAAAAGGCATCACCATCACAGGTACTTGAATCACTGGCACCTCGAGGTATCAAACTGGTTCTGAGATGCTCATCTGTTTCTATGTAATGAACATGGGGAATTTAGAAATATTCAATTCCCGATTTTTTACAAGTCAGTTTACTACTTGCCTTCTATTTGTACTTTTAGTTTAAAAAAAATGCCATTTATAACTAATCAGGAAAAATATGTCATAAACAAAAGCATCATATTACAAATATTCAAATTTATGAGCAAAAATAGTTATTTGACTAAACATGGATTAAATGCTACATCTCAAAAACATGATAAATAAAATATAAATGCAAGCAGTAGAAGGAAATTTGGAACAAATATGAGAAATGTTTTAGATTCTCACCAAATTTAAGTGGTTTATTAGAGTATCCCTGTTTTTGAAAGATAAACTTCCCCTAATTATATTTACTTTTTTTCAGTAAAAGAACTCTTGGTGTGCTGAACCTCATTTTCCTATGTTACAGTGTTTCCTTCAAAGGATACCTTAGCCAGATTTCATAAATACTCTGCCATGTTTTTATAGTTGCTGCCCAGAATTTACCAATTAGATTCATTTGTTTTAGAATTTTAATCTCAAACTTAAATTAAAAGTGTCCCTCACTATAATTGTGGCTTTGCAGACTTGGGGTAGAAATATTTCTTTCAAACACTTCCTCTTCCATTATAATGTAAGTTCTGGCTCCTTCACTGGCTGTGAGGAAAGAGACGCGAGGTTACCATCCTCTCTCTGTTATCTGTGGCTGTCTCTCATGAAGCAATTGTGTTTCCTTACCAAAAGAGACCTAAAGCTCTGGCCCATCCTACCACAGTTCCTCTTGGGTTGGCAACCCTTGTTAAATTGGCTTTCATAGATGGACAAATCATGCAAAATGGCTCAATACCACCTACACTTTTTGTGTACACATAATCCAGGAAATCCGTGCATCCTTGCTATGCTGAATATTGAAAATGTAGGTGCTTCACTGCTACTTTCTCTTATCTAGGCCTCACTCATTCTCCATAATTATTTTTTTCCATGGCTAATATGTGTAGCACAAGTACAGATTAGCAAACTTGCTGCTTAAATAGTTATCCACCCAGGAAAAAGGAAAAGAAAAAAATGGTTTTTTCCCTTTTCTCTCGTGTGAGTGGCTATACCCTCTAGTATTTCTCCTTTTCAGTTTGGCCCTTATAGTAACCGTCAGGGTGGGGCAAGAGGGGAACAGTTATAGGGAGTAGAGAGAGATGTTAAAGTAAGGTTAGTCCTGAGGCCACTCTTCAAGCCAGTACAGTATCACTTTTAATAAAAAGCAAGAAATAATCTAAATGCCCAATTCAAATGTTATTATCAAATAAATTAGAGAATATTTATATGAAGAAATATTGTATAAAATGTTACAACTATGAAGAATTTCAATTCCAATAATATAACAGAATGCAAACAAAATGATCCAAAATTGCATTAAACTCACCATGACCTGGAGGAAATTTTTTCCATTTAAGGAGTGCAATTAGCTCATATATGGATAAAGTAGGCCATTCCTCATAATAAGGACACATATGGATTAATTTCAACTTTTGCATATTTTCAATTTTTATTTTTTCCTGAAATAGAATGTCATTATCAAATTTTTAATAATAGGCCATTTAAAATCAAAGAAATAGCAAATAGATAAATGGTGAGAGAAGTAAAATAAAGGCCATATGAATAAAAGTTAGTATAAGATACATTTGAATTTTATCAGAGCATCACTCTGTGGCCATATAGACATATTAAAATATTAATCTTCAGATATACTTACTAAAATTATATTTGCTCACCTTTCATTATATATTATACTTCTATAAATGTTTTAGGAGTTTTTTAAAACCCTGTCATAGTCAAGATTAAACTGAAAAGTTGTGTTTGATAAAATCAAGTAACTGGTACTGATATTTGGGAAATAAAAACAAAACATACAGAATTTTTTGTTAAAGCCAGCCACTCTGAAAATCAAAACAAATGAACATTAAGGATTTAGAATAATGTTGAGTTCTGAGAGAATTACCTGCACTACTGACACTGGGCCCACTAAATCACAAGAAATCCCCACCATTGGAGACCCAAGAAGATGGGTGTCTTCTCAACTCCACTCCACATGAGCACTGAACCATGGCTTACACCAGCTTTCTGCAGGACCTGCATCTGGCTTAAGCTCATTTTTAAAAAGATGAAACAGCAGAATCATGGAAACCTTTCAACCCATTATTTTTTGTTTATTTATTTTTGAGATGGAGTTTCACTCTTGTTGCCCAGGCTGGAGTGCAATGGTGCGATCTCGCCTCACCGCAAACTCCACTTCCCGGATTCAAGCAATTCTTCTGCCTCAGCCTCCTCAGTTGCTGGTATTACAGGCATGCACCATCACATCCGGCTAATTTTATATTTTTAGTAGAGACAGGGTTTCCCCATGTTGGTCGGGCTGGTCTCCAATCCCTACCTCAGGTGATCTGCCTGCCTCGGTCTCCTGAAGTGCTGGGATTACAGGGATGTGCCACCACACTCAGCTAATTTTGTCTTTTTAGTAGAGATGGGGTTTCTCCATGTCGGTCAGGCTGGTCTCAAGCTCTCTACCTCAGGTGATCCACCTGCCTCGGCCTCCCAAAGTACTGGGATTACAGGCATGAGCCACCGCCCCCAGCCTCAATTCCATTATTTATACAAACTTCCTCTGCTATCCAAAGTAGGAGAAATAGGAGTCAAGAAAAAATTTGGATTTGATTAGAAGAGAATAAATTATTAAACTTTAGGTAAATGAGTATCTTAAAGCTGCAGAATTAAGGAATCAGAGTAAGTTGTTATCACTTATTCATCCAGCTCTGAGTTTGATGTTTGTTGTAATTATGAAATATCATGCCAATCCCATTCAAGTATTTTTCCTCCTTAAGTAGACTATAGAGACAGGGAAAGCAGCAGTACTATTATCCGTCTTATTATTCTAGTATTCTTAGCATATGACATGTTGTGAACATGCAAAACACATATTTGTTGACTGAATGAATGAGTTTGAAATTAATGAAAAGCCAAAGGGTATTCTAAAATTACCTAAAATATATTCATTGAGACCTTTGTTTACACTTTACCTATCACCAGCACTCTTAAGTGATTTTCGTCAAATAAATCACCTTTTTAATGTCTCTAGCTTAAGTTAAAGTTAAAAATAAAACAGATAATGGATATCTTTGTCTACAGAAGCAAAATACAGCTTGAGTTTATGCCCAATTTCTGTTTATATATAATATTAGATATCATACCTCCTTTATCTTTGCATACCCCTTTGCTGGGATTTTAAGAATTTCACAATCATCTTCTGTCACCACTGAGAACATCTGTGTTCCCGATTCAATCTGAGGTATAACTTCCAGAGTTCCAAAGGTACTCCATTTGCTAAGCTGTAAAAATACCAGAGACAATTTAATGTTTATTACCACTCACCAACATAAAAATGCCAGTGAAGGATTGGATTGTAGGTCAAGCTTTCATTCAATGAAAGAGGAGATTCTAAACTGTCTTTGCATGGATGGCTCCTACTACTTCTGCTCAATGTCACTTCCCAAGGCAAGAGAAATGGTCATTCTTTTCACCGACATGAAGAAAATAACATTAAAAATCTTCTGTTTTATTCAGTGATTTAAAGTGCCTATTACAGCGCTTGGAATATAGCAGCCATTCAATACATAGTAGTTGAAAGAATGAAGAAATATTGTACACTTATATATATGATCTTCTGTTTGTTTTATTATCACATGTTGGTAGTATTCAGTAATAAAAAAATGAATAAAATGTTAAACAGTATATAAACCATTAATATATACTTATGGATGATTGCTTAATTTAATATGTAAATGATAAATATTAGGCATGGAAAAATGTTACTACTAGAATACATGTCATGAGTTACTAGGTTATAATGATATTACATACAGTTACATAGAAAACCTATATTTATATTTACCCAGGAAAAGTGGAGGGCATGTGAAGGATAAGGAGCATATTTTTTATGAGAGGCTAAGGAGCTTCTTAGAGAAAACATCACGTCAATATGCCTATCTAAGATGATATGGGAAAACTTCCATTTTTCTACTTCAAAACCATAGACTATTTTTCTTTTTAACTAAATGCATATCTGAGCTTGAATCTGCAAGTCCAAATTCATAGAGGAAATTTAAAATGTGAAACAGTCACAGCTGAGGCCAAAGTGGGCCACAGTCCTATCAAACCAGAATAAGGTCCCAAAGAACCGAGTTCTGAGGCTTGTTGTACATGTAGGAACAGGAGATGGGACTCAGAGCCATGAAAGGCCAGAGACTGGAATTGCGCCTCCTTGCCTAAAGTCTAGGAACTTGGAGGATTACCCCAGTTGTGAAGTGGGGACAGGAAGAACTACATCCAGTACTTTAGAAAGCCACATAAAAGCTGGCTATCTAGCCGTGAAAGTGGACAGAATTGTTAGAAAATCAAGAACCTAGGTTTGCAGCTTGAATGAGTACAGAGCATACACTTATGCACAGTAGAAGACCCAAAGCTGAAAAATGAATAAAATGCCTGGTACACAACTAGTAAAAATCCTAGGATCCAGGAAGGTATTATACAAACTTAGCCTTATGTACAAATTCAGAGAGAAAGGAACTCCCACAGAGAGCAACACTTGCTGATGACAAAATCATAGTAAAAATAATTACAAGACACACAAATAAATAAACCCCTACAAAGGGAAGTCCTTGAAGGAGAAAAAAGTTGAGCAACCTAAAAGAAACTACAAACATTTAAAATTATGTAAACTATAAAAATCAGAACATGACATGATGGAAGCAAAAAGAGGTATTTTGGAAAAGAACAAAATAGAACTTTTGTAAATAATGGTCACAAAAATTTGTAGATTAAAGATAATTTTCAAAAGAATTCATTACATGGATAATATATAAGAAAATAATCTGGAATAAAATATAGAAGAAATGGAAATAAGAAGGGGGTTGTAATAGCTATAGAAGATAGATGGAGACCATTTAGCATATATCTAATAGAAATTCTAGAAGAAACTGAAAAGAATGGGAAAACGGTGATGCATAAGTGATAATGGCTGCAAGTTTTCCAGAGCTGAGAGAATAAGTGAGTCGTCCAAAGCAAGCAACACACAAAACTGAAAGATGAATTTGCTTTTGTATTCCTGCTCAGGATTTGGCATATTCTCCTAATCTTTCTCCTCTACTTGATCTCCTAGTTACAATCACATTAGCTCTCAATAATTTCAAGCAGATATTGTCCACTTACATATTTTTCAATTTATCTATTGTTTTAGGGAATTGTTTGGAATTACCTAATAAGTCATTATAAAAGCAAAACTATTCTATGACTTTGAACAATATTCTTAAGGATTTCTTTCTCAATTAATTAAAAAATATCATCAGAGTCCCTAATATTAATAATTAGGAAATTATAAAACTTCCAATGCCCCTTACATATCCACTTATTTTAGTCAAATGATTTTTTAAAGTATTAATACTTATAATTTCTTTTATGATTTCAATATTTTATTTTATTTATTTTTTATTATACTTTAAGTTCTAGGGTACATGTGAGCAATGTGCAGGTTTGTTACATATGTATACCTGTGCCATGTTGGTGTGCTGCACCCATAAATATGTCAATTACATTAGGTATATCTCCTAATGCTAACCCTTCCCCCTCCCCCGACCCCACAACAGGCCCCAGTGTGTGATGTTCCCCTTTCTGTGTCCAAGTGTTCTCACTGTTCAATTCCCACCTATGAGTGACAACATGTGGTGTTCAGTTTTCTGTTCTTGTGATAGTTTGCTGAGAATGATGGTTTTCAGCTGCATCCATGTCCCTACAAAGGACATGAACTTATCCTTTTTTAAGGCTGCATTGTATTCCATGGTGTATATGTGCCACATTTTCTTAATCCAGTCTGTCATTGGTGGACATTTGGGTTGGTTCAAAGTCTTTGCTATTGTGAATAGTGCCACAATAAACATAC